TCCAGTCTCATTTTGCTCTCTGCATGAAGTTACCCCCTTCAGAACACGATCAGATTAAAATCGGCACGCATTTTGCTAAAGAAATTACTGCATATTGCATCAGGTTTGTGAAGTTGGGGTGAATTGTTTTGTATCATGCTTTTGTATATGTATGGAAAAATTGCCATGTGGGAGCATGTGAGTGGAGCTTTGGATCATGAGGATCCATTTAAAAGAAATAACAGCTATTTGCCCTGTCCTAGACGCACATTCTTCACCAATTACTTTATACTGTACAAAAACTCTGTAGGCATGTGTTTGAAGGTTACAACATTACAATGCACACAATGCATGATAATCATGCTTAGTGCTTGTTTCTGATTGGCTAATCTGTCATGGCCATCTGAACCCTGGGAGATTCACTGGTGGTCACATCTTCATCGTATTGGAGAATTGTGTACTCTGGATTCCAGGCAACTTAACCAACGCATAGCTTTAATTAATCAATGGCTGTATTATTTGCAGTTAAAAATTTAAGGTTATTTTCAGAATTCATCCTCTTAAAGCTTTGTGGTTAACATAGTCTAAATAAAGCCATATATACTTGTGCAAATATTTGGTCCGTCATTAAATATTGGCCCACGAAGTCCATTTCTCATTTATTGAACGATATGTTGATATAGTGATGACTGTGGCTTGCCGTTTTATTATAAGCTGAACTGGCTCAGTGAATGTGTGCTCTCATATTAACATCTTTATCAATATTGCTACTACTATTGAGTGATTAAAGGTCCTATGTTAAGTGACCTTTTGAGCTTTGTGATCCGCACATCTTCACCAGACTCATTTTGATCATCTCACTGGTCAAATTGCCATCACTAAAAAGCTAATACATTTTTGTGCTAGCATCCATTTTTCTAGATCGTTGTCTAATTACAGATGGAATCCTTGAATGTTTTGTGCCCTCTGCTAGAATTATATTTACAGATGTTATAAATGAAAAATATTAGACTTGTTTTCTCCTTGTGTATGTGGATTATGCTTGCAGTTGTAATGCTGAGGTTCACAAATCAGTTTTAAACACCTGATTAATGTATTAAGAACTTTAAAGTCTGCTTACTTCACACCCTTCCCGGGAATGTTGTATTACTTTAAATAACACTAGCTTAAATGTGGACTATGTAATATTTTAGGTTGTTACCTGCTTGTTTCTATGCATTTGTCATTCCTTTCCCTGGAATGTTCCACAGTATAACATTAAACAGATCTGTCTTACATTAGTTAAATCGCAGGTGGTTTTACAGCTAAAACGTACTTAGAAAAACACGCATTCTGACTGTGAGCGGGGTTGCCTCTCCACAGATCTGACATCTAACATCATCTGGGTCTGGTTTGGTTTCCATGAAGACAGAAAAGTTTAATGCTATACTGAGAAACTTTCCAAACAAAGCAATAACATCTCCACAGAGAAAATAATTTGATGGGCCCTCCACCAGAAAAGTTACACAATGCAACTTTAAGTTTATAACTTGGGCATTAGATCATATCTTTTAGTAGTATGAAACAATGGACTACAGCAGGAACGATCAAAACAAAACCTTAATAAAAACAGCTCTTGAGCATTGTGAACTAAACTATGACTAAATCTACATCCGGTTTCTGCATGCTAAGGACACTTAATTGTATAATGCATTATATTTTCCAGCCTTTACTTGATCATGCTCTCATTATTGTTCCATGTTGCTGTGAGGTTTTCCTGGTATCAGTTGTATGTGGGTGTGTGAGTCATGGGCCCTGGTTTGACGACAGTGGCCACTGGAGCAGATGGTTGGAGGGTCCTCTGAGGGGGCAGTCCTACAGTGAGAAAAAGAAATGCTGCTCATTCAGAGGTACTATTGTTGTTCTCCCCACGAGCTCACACCAAAGGCAACACAAAAGGACAAAGACGGATCTGATACAAGCTTTGAAATGCCTGGATTTATCTAGTTATGTTGTATGAGCTACATTATGTCATGCTTAATGGTCTTATATGACACAAAATGACCTCTTGTGAGCTTTAAGTCATGTTATAATGCTGTTAACTCAGCAACAACATATCTGGAGTTGTGTTTTTTTTCATTCACACATTTTTGATTAATCGTTTATTATGTCTTTATTATTAGTCTGCCTACATCTCTAAAGCTCAAAATGCTCTGTTCTACCTCGTGATGCCTTTTGTCTTTCAGTTTAAGAGAAGAACTCAGCCTAAATTTGCAGCATTTGTGTGTTAAACGTGTGAATATAATAAAACTCTAGGTATAGTTTTGACGAGGACGTAGATCAGAAAATTACGTAATATGGGGTGTTTAAAATAAATACCGGAGTACTGCTTTTGGAAAATGTACCCAATATCTTGTATTTATAAATAATAAATATAAATAATAAATAAAATATTGTATAAATTCAAACCAAAAAATCTTATTTGGATATGTAGCAGCTTCACCCACTCCCTCTGTGATTGGTTTCTTGTTACTAGACATTGTAAATACATATTAATTTCACTAATAGTGCAGGGCTGCTTATCTCTGCTTTACACACAAATGACTATGTACACAACTTATTGTTAATGGGAAACCACACCACTATAGCACTCATTCATATAACTGGCATCCCTGAAGAGGTTGCACAGCCTCTGCCTAATGATCGTTTTTAACATTTGCAGACCAATTTATTAATCAGAGGTTGTTCTACATTAATCCTTATATTCATGACACTGTCTGTGCACTGTGGTGAGATAAAATGAGGTCCTCCTTTAGGGAAGCAGGCGACTGCCCTACTTTAAAATACCACATGGTCTGGACTGAGCAGAGACGTCCCCAAAGATTTGAGCAGGTGAAGAAATGACAACACTGTACCACAGTCAGTCTTGCTGTGTCATTGCATAGATGTGCATTTTTATTTAACACTTTCAATCTTGTGTCTCTGGTTGTTGCTGATCCCTGTTCATAGTAGCAATAAATTTCAATATCAATAGTCAAAATAGGGCTGCACGATTGGAAAAGAAATGTTTGTTATATAGGTGTATGTTTATGTAAACATGCAATAAATTCTTTTGTATCTCAGATAAATACATTTTGGTATTATTTTCATAAGCTAAAACTTAATTTTGATCTTTCTTTCAACTTGATCTTTACAGCAAAATACTGTAGATCAGGTACCAGTAATGGCTAAAAAAAATTTACCCAACCCTTTTATTTTTTTTTTAAGTATTAGATGTGTATACAGAATTCCAGGAGCATTAACATTTGTGAGAAGGCTGAAATGTGAAATGATAAACTAATATAAGAACCCCATAAATACATTAATAGAGGTCTAAACTACAGATACAAGATTCTGCTATAAAAAGACAGGATATGTTGTTCTTTGCAGACCACTTTCTATTAAATAAATATTTGCAGTCTTTGTGATTTGATTATTGTGTCAGTTCAAATTGTGAATTTCATTTGATTGCAATATATTGTGCAACCCTCATTTGAAATACAAAGGCGTAAATGAAACCTTGAAGAGTCTACCCCAGTGCTGAATATTAGACGGATTATTGTGTGAATGACAACAGTCTCTAATCACTCTCGGGTGACATCAGCTGATTAAACATTAGTGTTAGACATTAATACTTCACCACAAATGTGTATTTATAGAGTAGTGTGTCTGCTTTGTTACATCAGTCAGATTGAATACATTGCCACATTCTCACAAAAAGCATATTAGATTACCATTCGGTTTTCTGCTCTACTTTACAGGCTGCAGTAGTAAACACATCTGTTATTCATATATTTTGATAAATATGTAATATGTTCCTTTTTTAACCTTGGCATCAAGCACATGAGTGCTTTGTTTCACTGTTGCTTTATCAAAAACATCAAATGGGCAGATTTGAACATTGCTGTTTAAAGTGGCAATTTTGCCAGAGAGGAACATCGCACCCTTTGTCATTACACACATTAGTTGTGAGAATCCATGCGGCACATTTTATGCTTGTGACTGTTTTTGTCTCTCATGAAAAACAGCATTTTAACACATGCACAATGTGTAAATATTAGAAGGTTCTGGAAAATGTAATAGTGTGAACCCAGTGAGATTAGCTTGTTTGGATTGAGAAGATTACAGTTTATATAGTCCCTTCTAATACTGTTGTATTCTAAGTATTTTAAGATTAAATATATTCAGAAGGCATTAGGCTGCGACTGTCAGTAATCACAGTTTTGGTATGTGTTAACATTTAGACAGAAATGTTAAGTTTCTCACCAGCTTGTTAGTGTCACTTTTATTTGTAAAATATTCACAAGTGAAATGAATAGGCATCAAGTCTCACAGCACTTACAAACACAGTGTAGTGCACATGCATCATGCTAGATTCAAAGCCCTTACAATAGTACAGTTCTCACTCAGCACTGAAGCTCTTTGTGCCACAATGTTGTTAATGAATTGATGTAGTTTTGAGTCTAAACTGGAAAAATACAATCTTGATACATGATATTATTATTTAGTCTCCAAAAAAGGCTAATATACCACAAGCTATTGAACCCACTGATCACACCATAGCATCATGACACAGCCACGCGCACACACGGAGGGAGCTGACTGGCACCACATTTTAGAGGCTTTCGCAGCAGAAGCAGTGCATGTGTAGAGACCAGGGTCCACTATTTGTGAATGAAACCTTTGACATCCACATGGAAAGTACTGATCTACTTTTAGTGTGGTCCAGACCCGATGCACTTAAGACAAACATAAATCATTTGTATAGTTACGACATAACAAAGCTGTTGCCAAGACTGCTGCCAGATAACTGCACAGTGGCATCACTCAGTTACAAAACCTGCATCTGAAAGCCAACTATATTATAAACACTTTTCAGGACACATTTTTCAAACTCCACACGTACTCCTGCTTTCACAACTCAGCACAATTTGTACAATTACTTCAAGCCAATACCAACATCAATATCTTTTTCCACTCTTCAAAGTAGGTTTACCACTTTGTTACTTGACAAAATGCAAGGCCTCCGCTGCCACTACAGAGCCTTTACTGCTGTCTAAGCTAGTAATGAGCTTATAGCCGGACCGTAGCGCTAACATCACTGTCTCTAGTTTCAGACAGTCAAGAGTACACAGGAATGTACTGTCCTCCTTTAGCACTAGTCTGGACCCTGGCTCAGACTTGATGAAATGTTTAAACTGGATCACGTTGGACGACACGACAAACTCTTCGGGAAACCCATCCAAGCGACTTTTGGAGATCTGCACAAGACGAGCTTTGACCTTATCGATGAAGGTATGGTCACTGCAGTACACTTTGAGGCCTTGGGATCGGTCGTGGCTGTCTGTCACTTCTAAAAACGCTGGTTCTTTGTTGGCAGCCCTCTGACTCTCCCATTCGCACACCAAGTCGACCAGTTCAGTCAATCGGTAAAAGTCTGCCTCTTTCCTCAGAAGCCCCGCCTCCCTGAAGTCATCGGGCAGCTGCAGCTCTCCGGTTCGGAGATAGTTAAGAACGTGCCGAAAGACCGGACCGTCCCTGTCAATGAAGGGGTTTCCCATGGAGTCGGTATGCTGCACTGGCTTCTTCCCATTGGCCAGTTCTTCCAGGAAGGAGCCTAGGTGCTTGGCGAGGGTGCTCCGATGCGCGGTGTACAGAAAACCACCTACATTGAGAGTGATGGTGCCAGCTGAGGGCTTTTTGAAGCTCTTGCTGGGTTGGAGCAAGTCCGGGTTGATGTGCCTTAGTTCACTCTCCATTCTTCGAAGGTTCCATTCCATTCTCTGGTCTGTGTCCCCAGCCTCAGTCCAGCCTCTGAGCGGGCTGACGACAATGAGAATTGAATTAACTGAAGCTTTTTTGAGAACGGCGCTGCTCCTGCTGTGAGCTGTCAACACTCTGGATGTGTGGAGTGAGGAAGAGGAGGAGGAAGGGTGAGGCACGGGCTGCCAGAGGAGCTACTGTGAACTGGGAGTGGGAAACAGGCTACTGCTCGCTGTCCCTCCGCGCTCTCTCCTCCCTCTCCTCCCTCTCTTTTATTCCTCTCTCTCTTCCTCTCTCGCTTTAGAGTGAGTGGGCAGACAGCGTCACACTCAGGGAGGAGAGAGCACACAAGCTAAAAAGCACTAGTTTCTGAAATCTGCTTCTCTGTTTCTCCTTTTGTAATGAGCCTTGAGGAAAATGTGAATAGCCAGAAGGTATGCAGAGTATACAACAAATCTTTTCTGTATGGTTTGACAAATTTTTGACTATTAACTTTTGGGCTGTTTCCTCTGTCAAAACAATGTGATGCAGACTAAAGGTAATCCCCAAAATGTTGTTTTGTCACTAGTTTTGAATATGTTCAGTACAGCTTTAGTCTCATTTTAAGAGCCAGCTAGGTTTTGTTTGCTTTTTTCTTTGCTTGGTTGGATTCTCTTAATGGACTTAAAGGTGGCACAAATCCTATCTTCAAGGAATCATTCAAGGTGCAAGATAACATGTGCTGGAGACATTAAAGGCATATATCTCCACGGAGGCAACAAGGTGCACCACCAGGCTAAGTTACACATCATGTCTGTGGAAAAGCAACCCTGCTAATAGTTAGAATGCATGTTTTTTAAGATATTTTTGAGCAGTTTAAACACCCCAAATGAACTAAATTCAAGCTGCATTCCAAGCCATGCAACAGCATCTCCATGGAGACAAACGAAAAACTCCCCACACTGAAAGTTACATAGTGCACCTTTAATACAAACAAATATATTAGATTATATATTAGATTTGACTCGCACCTCTTACTCCTTAACTAGAACATGACTAGTTTGAGCTCTTCTCCTAGTTATATTTTTGTAATTGTAATTTTCCAATAATTAGGTACTGCTTGTGCACACCGTCCTGCCACCAGATGGAGGGAGGTTGCATCTATGATTTTTGTGGTGTGAACGAGTCTTGTGCTAGTATGAATATGCAGCGCCTTTTGCAGCCTTATCCATCTGTTTACCACACAGTTCCTCAAATGTGAAATCAGTGTCTATTTCAAACAACCTTCCTCTTACGGGGGGTTGCTGACGTGCCTCTAATGTCTCATCCCTGATCATGACTGAGTAGTAGGCTGCTAACTGTGAATGAAAGCAAAGGGGGTATAAATAGGACTTTCTTTTTAGACTGATGTAATGGACGATATAATGATATGAAATTAATTGTGATCATCTGATCATGTGGTATGTCAATCAAGGGCATGTTCACACTTTATCCAATTAAAGTAAACTCTGATGCTTTTCCGACTAAGTACGCTTCAATTGTGGAAATGAGAACACCAAACCAGATTCACAATGAAGTGCGCATCTGGTCCATTTCAAATCAGAGGTCTCAGTGCAGCTCTCCCGGACAGCACAGATTTAACTACAGACTTGCATATAAATAACATAAAAGCACACATGTAAATGTGCACCAAAGCGCATGAGAGATAAGCCATGTCTACATTGAGAAAATCTATTTGACATGTGGTGCTAAACATGTCAAACTCAAACCTGTCAATTGGTTAGCTACTTAGATTACATTTTCATTATATCATTATATCATATCATTTTTTGGGATCGCTTCCTCAAACTTGCAATATTATACATACCTTGATTAAATGATTTAAAGTCTTTTCAACTGACAATTGCAGTTTTGAGGTTTGAGGAATAATATCACCACTTTCTGAAGCTAGTGTGAAAAGATGTGCCAGTGTGTTTGTGGATAGGCCCTGGAATTAATACAAAAATGGGCACATAACTGCAATCTGAATGCAAATACTATAGAATTGTCACCTGCCCTCCAACTCAACTTTCTAATGATATAAAATGTTGTGTTGCTCTGTGAATGCAATTTATTGGACAGCACCATGTTCTTGAGGGAATGATGGGTGGATTTTAAAACATCACAATAGGGTGTGAAGTAGTGTTGTCACAATACTAAAATCGCAGGATAGGTTCCTTTTTTGTATCGATACTTGCTCGTACTCAACATACTATCTGGTTTTGATACTAGTTTTAGCATCAATTGTTATCTGATTATTGATACTGTCAATACTTTCGACAACCGTAATGTGTACAAGAAGAAGCAGATAATCCCACGTTGGGCAAAATAATGTTCCTAAGTGCACAAATATAATTTTTAAAAAAGAAAATCTGATATTTTTTTCTAATTGAAAGTTGATAAAATAATGGTATTTCATACTGAACCATTAAATCCACCTTAGAAGGGGAACACTTTGAGAGGTTCAGAAGTAATGAGCAAATTGAGTGCCAAGTGTTTCTGCTCCAGGTGTGGTCTGCTCTCTCATTATTTCAACAAAATGAAATCGGTGAAATTGAAATTGGGGACACCCAGAAGAAGTGTTGATTAGGCAGTGGGTAGTTGGCTTGCATTTAATCATTCTGCCCAATTAAAATTCCTCCCTTGTCCTCTCTACTTTAATTCATTCAATTAACCCCCCTAGATTAGCTGCTTTATTCAAGCATTTTTTATTACACATTAATACATGCTATTTTTAAAGTAGTAATTTTCTTATTTGAATTTATAATGTTCAAGACAAGCTTCATTAACTAAAATGTATTTACTTAAAAGGAAACAACACTACAGTATAGTGTCATGTTATTAATTACATTTTGGCTAAGTTACAATGTTGTAGCCTTGACAAAAACATTGAGTTTCATTTTACTTAATTACATGTTTCAGTAATGCTCCATATTTGGTCAGTCTTCCTCCTCTGAGCTGTAAACCCCGTAATTTAACATTTTGAGCAGTGTTTTTCAACATTTTTTGAGTCATAGCACACTTTTTTTGGTTAAAAAGATTCCATGGCACAAAGACCAGTAAAATATTTCTAAATGACACCATTTAGAAATAAAAGTGCAAATATTTTCCTTGCCCTGTGCGTAGTTCTTTCTGCTTGGCAATGATTGTTTTTCTTTGTTTTTCTTTCTGGTTCAAATTGCTCAGGACTCTCCAAAATGATAAATTATTAAAATCTTTTTATTAATACTTTATTATATATATATATATATATATATATTAGGGATGGGCATGATTAGTCGATTAATCGATAATTGATCACTAAGAATTTCATCGATTACGTTAATTTTAATCGACAAACCGAATGTAGGTTGCTGTGCGTAGCGTGACCAAACAGGGGTCCGTACATGCAGCTCTCTGCACTCAGAAGGAGCGAGACACAAACAGTCAGTCAGCCTGCAACGTACCAAAGCACAAATGCGTATTTCACGATGACTTCTACAAGAAATTCCACGCTTTCCGTTGCGTTCGGGACAAGTGTGAGTCCATGTGCACAGTGTACAAAGCAGCACATGTGTTTCGGTGTCCAGTGGGAAAAGGTTTTTCCAGGTGAGAGTAGCGCAATGTCGATGACGAATCCCCACCTCCCACGTCCCGTACGGTGTCCTGGTTTTGACAAATGCAAATATGGTCACACTAACCTGTATTCCACTGAGTCATGTCTTTTAATCTGACAGAAGTTGAACCGCATCAGCGACACAAGAGCTGCATTTTTATCTTCTCTGAGTTTATGCAAATTAGTGATGCAGTTTTAAGTTTCTGTGAGAGTTGCGCAAAACTGAATTAAACACATTATAATGTCAAACAGCTGATGTGGCTCTAGAGTGGTTACAGTTTATATGTCGTAAAGTTGAATTTATTTATGCAGATTAGTAGTGCAGATAGTAATAATAATGATGATCATTTTAATATAAAAACTTTAATGATTAATCGATAATTGATCGTTAATTCTTCCGACGATCGATTAAGAAAATTTCATCGAATGCCCATCCCTAATATATATATATATATATATAATATATACATATATACAGTCTGAGTGAGGGTATAAATGATTCGATTAAATGCATATATGAATTAACTTTAACTGAAATTTGACTTTTCTCTGAGGCACACCTTGCAATACCTTAAGGCAATCTGATCTTCACTGGCACACTGGTTTAAAAACCATCTTGTAATACATAGTAAACATTATCAGCTATTTTCAAAGTCCCCTTGTCCTGTTGTGGCCCCTATTCAATATTCCTGTATACTTTTGCAGTGTACACTTTGATAGACAGTTGTTACTCAGAGTTGGTTTGTTGATGCCCCAGCAGCAGAATTATCTCCATCCAAACAGTTTATAACCTGCCTAAGATGTTTTTTACACCTGTGCTGCGATGCCACTCATCCGCATAATTTAACAGCTTGGAGTGGCAGAATACCTGGGTCGTGACAGCATCTGTGTCTGCTCTGTATCACATATGGTCGGCACAAGTCCCACAAATGTACGCATCTGATCACCAGTCCCTATATATTCCATATTTATGAATTATGCTGCAACTCATTAGGTGGTTTGTATTGAATATCTCTTATAATTATGTTTCTAAAATCATACCTTTTTGTCAGTTAAAGGTCAACCATGTAACCTCATGGTGTAGAGTCCGCCACCTACTTGTCTCCATTGAGATATCATTGTTTTCCCTCAAGTGGTCCAAATTATGGCATTAAAACATATCTATCTCCATGATGATACCTGGCTTATGTCACTTACATTAGGAATGCATTGTTCTTGGTATTTCTTTAGCAATACAAACACTCGTAACCTGTTAAACAATTCTAGTTTAATGTCGTAGTACACAGTTTTGGCAGTCCTTGTCCATTTTGCATAGTAGTTTTGTACAAAATAAAAATGTCTTGATTATGATAAATGAAATACTGGTAACTGAATGTGCCTTTTCCATTGGATTTAGTTAGTGTT